TCAGCACAGAGCTCGACGTGGGGCTCGATCCCATGAACCATCAGATCATGACCTGAGCTGAAATCGAGGGTTGGACCCTTGACCAACTGAACCAGGCATCCTGAATCTTTTTGAGGTACAAATGATTTGATTTTTTTTAATGATTTGAAATTTTTTAACAGGAGCTTTTTAAAAATTTTATATGGAAAAAGGATTATAAATCAGTCTTAACATTTCAATACTTTTAGAAGTATAATCAATATTTAAACTCTTTATTTCTATGGTACTTCAAAAAATATCTATAAGAGAATATTGAACCCATTTTAAAAGTTCGTTATTGAGTAAAAACAAACAAGAACGAGTAATTGTTAAAGGTACACGTTTTGGGAAAAACAATTGGCTTCTTGAATGAATTGAACTTTTTAAAAAAATGTGTTTGAACAGCCATATATATACATATGTATATATGTATATATACATATGTATACGTATACATATGTATATATATATGGCTTGTGTTCTAAGCCATCTACAATCATTTTTGGAAGTAGGCAGGCTATAAATTATAAATGAATAGAATAGATCAAAATTCATACCAATTTGTGCTGAGAGTAGAATCTGTAGGCTTTAATACCATTTCTCAGTTTTCTGTGTTAGGTGTTGCTCTATCTAGGTCACAGTAAAACAATATGATCAAAAATATACTGCCTGTGGCAACGCTTTTAAAAACATCTCCCAGCTGGGTTTTGTGTGCTGGGAATAACTTCCTGTCTAGTGCAGTCTAGAGAGGCCCCCGTGGGCGCTCCTTCACGGCAGGTGTGGCTTGCCCTCCCTCCAGCTGGGGCCAGGTTCTCCCTGCACGGCACCCTCCCAGGCCTCCCTCGCTAATTGGTACCCGTGTGTCTGGTGTGCTCCCCGAGGCGTCAAGATCCGGCACCTTTTGTAGAGGAGCGAGTGGTTATATGTCATCCTAGAGCTACAAACAAAGTCATTCAGGCCTTGCTACCATCAGTAATAACACGTAGAGGGAACCTCACTCACACAGCATTGTCACATACGTGGCAATTTATTACTCACATGTAAGGGACTTAATATCATGTTCATTTTAGGGGCACCCAAGTGGCTTAGTCCATTAAGCATCCAACTTCGGCTCAGGTCATGATCCCGTGGTTTGTGAGCTCAAGCCCCACGTTAGGCTCTGTGCTGACAGCACGGAGCCTGCTTGGGATTCTTACTCTCTTCTTCTCTCTGCCCCTCCCCACTTGTGTTCTATCTCTCAAAAAATAAACAAATAAACTTAAAAATACATAATCATCTTCATTTTACGGAACTGGAGCATATTAAGATGTTTGCGGTGATGAGCTAATTTGTGTCAGGACTCAGGCGTGGAAGCAGGTTTTCTGACCACACCGTAACTCAGCCAACCAAAGACAAGCAAACCAAAAAGTTGAACAATGTACAGTAAATACCTGTATGTACAGATTCCTCTCCTGGGCCCTGAAGGCTGTGAAGTAAATTTTGGAAAGTAGAAGTTAGGGTCTCGTCTCCCGAAGAGAGCAAATTTGAAAGAACTGAACCAAGCAGGAAGCCCTGCAGAGGAGTGTCGTCCTACACGTGAAGGCAGAGAAAAGCTGTGTTGCTACAGACGAGGGTGGCCTGGGTCGTATCTAGAGGAGAAGGTAACTGGGTCGTTGTCTGGTCTTTGGTAGAAGACGCATGGGCAGAAAGCAAGGAAGGGCAGCACTGTTCAAAGGAGTCTGAGTCGGGGCATCTGGTGGCTCAGTCAGTTGAGCGTCCAGCTCTTGATCTCGGCTCAGGTCGTGATCCCAGGGTCGTGGGATTCAGCACCGTGTTGGGTTCTGCGCCGAGCATGGAGCCTGCCTGAGATTCTCTCTGTGTGTCCTTCTGCCATTCTCCCCACTCATGCTTTCTCTCCCTCTAAAATAAATAAATATAAATAAAAATTAAAAATGCAGCAGAAAAAGTCATCGGTTACCCCAAATTGCAGGTAAAACCAGGCAGACAGTAATGCAGATCCTGTCATAGCACCTGATTTGACATATCATGTCACCTGATATGACATTAGGATGTCATAGCATCCTAATGACAGGATCTGCATTACTGATTTGGTTAGACTAGTTAGATTTGGTTAGACTAACCTGATTTGGTTAGACTAGTTAGATCAATGGTAAACATGTCATTCTTTCTGCAAAGATTATCTAAAAATACAAAACTGGTACTTGTTACGGCAGCACGCTTACTAAAATGCTTGTCGTGAAGGGCACCGGCTGGTGTGGAAAGTGTTGAATCACTATACTGTACCTATACAGAAAACACTGTATGTTGACTCTCCTGGACCTGAAATATTTTAAAGTTGGGAAACCACTAGAAAAAGTACATGAGAACACAAAAATAATACCAGAGAGAGAAGACAGCAAACATCATACACAATGAACAAAAATGGGTAAAAATCGGTGTTTTTGGTGGAGGTCTCTTTCTTGATGTGGACAGGTCTTGAGTCAGGCCAACAAGTGGGTGCCGTGGACGCCTTCCTCCCTCTTCCTCCTAAGTTTCTCTCTGAGGCCTCTTCTCTCTGACCCAAGTCAGCATTATCTACAATAACCAAGATATGGCAGCAGCCCGAGTGTCCACCCATAGATGAATGGATAACATAGATGTACACACACACATACACACACACACACACACACACACACACACACACACACACACACACACACACACACACACACACACACACACACACACACACACTGGAATACTACTCAGCCATAAAAAGGAAAGGAATCTTGTCATTTGCAGTAACATGGTTGGATCTAGAGGGTATGATGCTAAGTGAAATAAGTCAGTCAGAGAAAGACAAATACCAAATGATTCCACTCACATGTGAAATTTAAGAAACAAAAGAGATGAACAAATAAAAAAAGAAACAAACAAAAACCACTCTTAGATGCAGGGTGATGGTCACCAGAGGGGAGGAGGATATGGAGACAGGTGACATAGATGACGGGGATCGAGGGTCCGCTTATCTCGATGAGCACTGAGTGATGTATAGAATTGTTGAACCCCTACATTGTACACTTGAAGCTAATATGAAAATGTATGTTAGTTACAATTGATTTTTTTAAAGAGGGTAAAATGGGTCAAAAGAAAAGAGAAAGAGCATCATAGGCCTACAATTATGGGAACACCTCCAACAGAAAACATGCGTTGTGAAAGAGAAGAAGCTAGAAATATAGACATTGGTTAGATCATGCAGGGTCTCAGGTCAAATCAAGGAGGCTGCAATTCCATCCTGAGATCATCAAAAATCCATGAGAATTTCCGAATGAAATAATCATATGTCCATTAAAAAAAGAAAGCTTTCCGACTCCTGGGTGGAGAATGAATTGGCTGAGGGCAGCGGGAGATTCAGAAAACAGGTCGGGAGAGCGTTGCACTCACCGTACTCCTAGCACTGGTGGCTGGCCCTGGGGTGATGGCGGTGAAGGGGGCGGGTCTGAGGAGGCTGGCCAGGGGGGGCCTGTTGGCAGATGGCAGGGCGGGGTCGCAGGGGGAAGGAAGCCTGTGACGGGCCATGAGCAGATGCTAACCGCTTGTTGACTGACATGGGGACACAGGAGGTTGGCCAGGCTTTACAGGCATAGATTATGACTTAGGTTTGCACGCTCCGCCCGCAAAGGGCCTTTGGATACCTGGAGAGGTGAGGGCAGCGGGCGTCTGTACCTGGCTTGTGGACGGAAAGCTGGTGGAAGAAACAGGATCATGGCAACAGAGAGAAGGATGCTGGAGAATCTTCCCTCTGCAGTCACGTTCATCTGTCTTGCGTAATTATGGACTCATTTCCTTATTCCGTTATTTAAAACAGCGTTTCCTTCTTTCCACAGCAGGGTTCTGTCCAGTGCGGCTGGTTGTAGTACTTTGCTTGTGCCGTGATGAGGTTCACCCTCATCTCGAAGCACGTGCGTGTCAACACAAGGGGATTTAAACTCGCTTACCATTTCCCATGTTTAGTACATCCTCCCAGAATACTTTACACTTCTGATCGAGGAGCATTTTCCTTGTCCTCAGCCCCCTCCAGTGTCCGCTCTTCTGTCACGCTTGTCCCTGCCATCGATACGTCTCCTGCTGACTTTTTGTTCGTCACAACACAAGTCAATACATTTTAAGGAAGGCAAGCATCATGTCCTACACCTGTATTTTCCTCTTCCCGCATGCTCAGTTGGAATCGTTTGCAGATCTCAGTGGGAACATTCTCCAGTTTGGATCCCCCAAGGACGGAAAAGAGAATGTGTAGTCAAAAGGAGCATTTTCTCAGTATTTCGGATCGGTCCACCCAGGCTAACTGCACCCCCAACCTCCATAAGACTTGCTCTTTTGAGGTTTTTAAAAGATTTTTTTAAGTTTATTTATTTATTTTGAGAGAGAGAGAGAGAAAGAGAAAGGGAGAGGTGGGGAGGGACAGAGAGAGAGGGAGAGAGAGAGAATCCCAAGCAGGTTCTGCACTCTCAGCGCAGAGCCTGATGCGGGGCTCGAACTCACAAACCATGAGCTCATGACCTGAGCAGAAACCAAGAGTCAGATGCTTAACCGACTGAGCCACCCAGATGCCCCTCATTTGAGTTTTTCCCTCTTCGTTCAAGTCAAAACCAAACAAACAAACAGACAAACAAAATGATTGTGTTGTTAAAAGAATGGCACTTGAAAAGCCAGTGCACCAGTGCCTGGTAGAACGTAAGAATTTGTGTGTTCGTACCCTGATATGTTAGAGAGACGTCACATCAGCTTGAGGAGGGCAGAGAGATGTGCAACTTTTTGCTGTACTCGCACAAGAGAAAGGCGCCAAAGGACAGAAGCATCAAAGCCCGTACTCAGATTCAGTAGGTTGCGATCAGACAGACCGCAGGGCTTTGTAAACCTGAACAGATAAACCCGTATATTTTTTCTAGAGAAAAGTGAATGCATTTGTGATGTTAAAGTCCCCCACCTGTTTCTTTCAGGAACCACGGTCCCAGCTCTTCTGAACAGCACGTCCAATCAGCTCTGTCTCCACTTCCAGTCTGACATTAGCGTGGCAGCCGCGGGCTTTCACCTGGAGTACAAAAGTAAGGTCCCCTCTTTCTGCATCCGGCTTCCGCTGTTATATCGAGTCATGTTCTGAAAGGAAAAACAAATCCGTGCCCTCATTACATAGTAAAATATCCTCGTCCCAAAACGACTCTCCAAGTTGCATGAAATTGGGTCATACAAAATCTGCCCCCACGAAATACATAGTATAAAGAGCAAACTAATGAGGACATGTCAGTTAGTATCTGGAATCGTTGGATAAATGAAGTTCGTGTCTGGAAAAATTGTTCAGAAGCACAAAAAGTAACCGTGTGTGCTATTCCTGGTTTTCTTGGGAGTGGTGTTTATATTAGCGTCCAGAAACCCAGAAAGTCATCATTTCCAAGCCGATTATGGTCACAGGGCCTCCAAGGTGGGTGGTGCAGGGCTATCACAGAGCCTCGCTGCCCGCTGCCCGCTTCGTGTATTACTCATTTTAATTGGAAGAAGGTGTCGCGAAGGAGACGCTAACCTTTTAAAAATGAATGTGAAAAGTGAGTTAATAGTCTGATAAATGGGTTGACAAAGGTCAGATTCACAAATCTTCTTTGGCGTTTGATGACGCAGGTAAACCTTGTAAAAACGAAGTAAGACTTTCCAGTGAGAGCCAGGTTTATTTTAGGACGTGTTTTCAAGCGCTAAAAATGCTTAATGTCGATATCCATCTCCTTTAATAAGTGGTTGCAAATAAGCAAATACATGGATGGCTTTAATAAGTGATCTTTTGAATGGAGATAAACAGTTCGCCGAGACGAAAATGCATGCATGTTTTTGAAAGGCCAGATTTCCAGCTGATGATAAATATTCCGGACCAGACACAAACCACAGGGCTGTTTCCCGTTTCGGTTAAATTTCCCTACTTATTACAGGCATTTGTATGCAAGTTTATTCCAATTTATTTGAATAGGACTCCTTTGGTGACAGTGTAAAAGGATGCTGTGGGTGTTATTTACGTAGGAAATGTCTGGAAAAAATCTGCCAGTCTGATGCATTTCGTGAACATCTGTAGATAGGAAACTATCAACCTCATTTATGATAGCGCTAATAAATTCGCTAATACTTTCAGCGGTGTTAGAACTGATGAATGTTCTTATCTCTTTCTTCCAAACTTATCTTGTGGCTTCAGGCTTTTCACTTACTTCTCATAAAGAGAGGTGCTAGTGAAATGATTAGTCTGCAGTTACGAGGACGTACGATTACAGCTTCAACAATATAATCGTCTGCCTTTCACTCTATTTCCCGCCCATGCACTTCGTTAGAAGAGGAACACCAAGATATTTCTCACCAAAATGAATCTTATTTACAAATCCACAGCCTTGCTTAATTACTTAACGTGCTTATATATTATTTTTTTTTAATTTTTTTTTTCAACGTTTTTATTTATTTTTGGGACAGAGAGAGACAGAGCATGAACGGGGGAGGGGCAGAGAGAGAGGGAGACACAGAATCGGAAACAGGCTCCAGGCTCTGAGCCATCAGCCCAGAGCCTGACGCGGGACGTGCTTATATTTTAATTGGCCAAACCTAATGCTACAGTCCTGTTTCTTAAGATCTGCTTGGAGTGGCTGTTTTTCGATGCCAGCACCATTCTGATACCACCTGTGTCGTTCGTGTGTTCCCTTACCCTCTGTGTATCTACAGGCGCTCATTTCTCTGTTCTCATTCTACGTGCAGAGTTTAAAATGTGGGTTATAGAACGTGTTCATAGAATTAACCTTAAGAAGGCCAACAGCAAACAGTATAGGGACCGTGGAAATAAACTGCCCGGAGATTGTCTGATACTTTTAATCTCTTGACCTATTTTTGCATCTACCTGAAAATAGGTACCGCCTGTCCACAAGCCTCTAAATCCAGATTTGTTCCTAAAATTGATATCCGTGAGATCATAGTAAAAACAACAAAAGCCCCCGCCCTATGCCAGGTCTAAACATGTCACAGCTCCTTCCTGCTTTGTCCTCAGAAAGCCCTCTTTTTGAGGTACGCCCGGTTTTTACAGGAGAAAGGACACAAGGCAGTGTCTTCAGCCTGCACAGGCTCTGGTCACCCTGCTTGTGACCCGCGGAATGCCCAGAGACCCTTCGTCACGAAGGCGCTTTACCAAAGGCAGAAGCAGCGCCTGCACTGTTGCGTTTGACGAACAGTGACGCCGAGGGTCACGAGTAGTTGGGGGACACGCGGAAGGGAAGGAAGCCTGCAGGTCGGTGTTGGAGATGCGGCTTGTCTGGCACTGAAACCAGAGCTGTGATCGCTGATCCTCACCTGCTTCTCCGTGAAGACTTTCAGTTTCTCATCCAGAAGTGAGCGCCTGGCCCCGGTACTGATGATGGGCCATCTTTCCAGATGAGCACTGATAGGAATTTCCCCAACAGAAAACAAACATTTTTATCTGAGGGGATGAAGCATAAAATTTTAATGACTGAGAAAGCAATTCCAGGAAGGTCTGATCAGATACGGGTGATCTGGGTTCTCTTGCGGGGTCCGAGCGGAAGCTCAAAAGATCGGCACAGTTGAGCGCGCCACGTTCTGGAAGCCAGATGTCCTTCTTTTAATTTTTTAAGCAATTATTTATTTATTTTGACAGAGGCAGAGATGGCGTGAATGGGGGAGGGGCTGAGAGAGAAGGACAGCCAACCCCAGGCAGGTTCCACACTGTCCCCACAGAGCCTGACGCGGGGCTTGAACCACGAACCGTGAGGTCAGGACCTGAACCGAAATCAAGAGTCAGACACTCAACTGACTGAGCCACCCAGGCGCCCCCGTCCTTCTTTTCTTTTATCTATCTGGGTAGGAAGTTTGACACGGCTACACAGAGGGACACGGTTGTCACCCTTGCTTTGGGCTCTTTTCTTCAGAAAAACTACCAGAACAGAACAAAACAAATAAGCAAATACCATGGAACCTTAAAGATGTATGTAGGCAATGATGATGCTGGGTTACCCTGGAAATTACGAAATCTGAGCCGAGGGTGCGTGGCACGAACCTGCCGCTGGGGAACAGTCTGGTGGTAGCCATTCTAGAACTCGGCAGGAAAGAGCAGAGAAGGTTGGATATATATGAACATAAGCGTGTCTATTGACATACGTGATATGTGCCATATACAGCAATAGACCAGGGTTGGTTGACTTCACTGGAATTGGTGGGAGGAGAGCTAATAAGGTTGAAGCCATGCACCCTGTCGGAGTGTTTGTCTTTGTCTTATTTGAAATAAAGAAGGGCACACCCCACTGTGTCTGGGTCCCCGAGCTATTTGACCCCCTTCCGGACCTTTGGCAGTTTGCCAAGAGGATGGCCTGAGTGGTTCATTCTTTCCCATGCGTGTTTGTCCTGTGTTTGTCACAGAGACAGCTTCATGTCCTGGATCTCCTGGAACAGGCTGTTCTTTGCACTTGCTGTCACCTGGGTACCTGCTACCTCGTCCCTTGGACGAGTTCAAGAAACGTTAGGACCTCGCAGTTTAGATTTTTCTCGTTGTTAAAGTGAAAATAGTGTTTTATTTTTCAGATTTCTATATCCTGTGTGGGAGTGGAAATCCTTTTGTGGGTTTCCCCTTGCCCAAAGATAAATATATAAATACCAAAGTTATTCTTTTAGGTTAACCAGGGACAAGCTTTTCTTGAATGCTCCTTTTTACGATTTTTTTTTTTAAAGTGGGCTCCACACCCAGCATGGAGCTTGAACTCACGACCCTGAGATAAGAATTCCATGCTGTACTGGCTGAGCCAGCCAGGCACCCCTTGAAATGCTCATTGTGGAAAAAATGGTCTATCTATGTCTATCATCCATGTAACACGTACATAATTGTAACACAGTAATATAGGATTTTCATCATAACTGTGAAAATTTTACAAGTACTTACAGATAAATTATAGAATTACATTGGATAATATGTTTATATTACAGATACATTATTAGCAGAATAAGTCCATCCAATCTAGAGCTGTTCCCCATTATGAAATTTTTGAATAGAAACTATTCTGATTTTTACATGTACCCGTGCTTATTTAATAATCATACGTTCCACGATTAAAACCTTCTCTTTTAAATTACACCATTATTCGGGTGCACCCGATACATAGTTCTGCCTCGCTAAGTTGGAAGATATTTAACCTCAGTTCTGCAGCAAACCTTACAACACCCCACTGAATACATCTGTCCTGAGTTAGCATGACGAAGCCATGAGTGAATTTTACCTCCAGCACAAGGCTGCTGCAATTATGCAAGCCCGTTTGGTGCTAACGCGTGGCACTTGGTGAAAACAGCACCAAAATTGCGTACATAGGAACTTTTTTATTTCAGCATTTTTATCATGCGTTTTTGTTTGATTGTTTGTTTCGTTTTATTTCCTGTCAACATTCACTACTGGGAAACCCAGTGGAGCTAGTATAATATTTCTGGAGTCTCTAACATACAACATTTGGCCCCTGGAAGGCAAGTAAGACAGAGAAGCTATGGTGCGCTATAGACTTCACATATCTTCTAATACATCACGGGAGCCATTCTTTAGTTTTTTTTCTTTCTTTTTTTTTTTTTTTAAACATTTATTTATTTATTTTGAGAGAGAGAGACAGACAGAGAGGGCCAACAAGCAAAGAAGGGGCAGAGAGAGAGAGAAAAGAGAGAGATTCCCAGGCTCAACACAGAGCCCAACATGGGCCTGGAACTCACGAACAGTGAAATCATGAGCGAGCTGAAATCAAGAGTGGAACGCTTAACCGACTGAGCCACCCAGGCGCCCTGTGGTGCCCCCATTCTTGAAATAGTAGCCCAGCTATGAACACGGCCCGATGTGAAGGCCATTGTCCCATGTCTAGGGATCTGGCCACAGACAGAGAAGACTATACTGGTGGATCAGAACCAGGAACATACAAGCTATGACAATGACAGCATCACATGAAAGGATAGGGGAGAATAAGACAAAAATATTGCAGTAATTGGTACATTTAGAATATATTTATTCTGAAACCGGTTGGAGTTTGGATCAGTGGTGTGTAGTTACCAT